CTGTCAAAGCACTGCAGGTGACACAGAGGAATGTGGGCTGGGGGATGGCACTGCTGAGGAGGTTGATGAGTGGGCAGCTAAATCCTGCTCAGTGTGTTTATCAGTGCTTGAGGAAGGCTGTGTATGGCCTGCTGGTGATATTGTTGATGGCTGGAAACTGAGCAGCATACCAAGGCAAGATGGCAGGATTGGAACCCCAGATACCCTAGAAGCTGGATTGGGGGTTCAAGTCTAGAACTGTAGGTTCCCCTTATCTGTGGTGTCACTTTCCACAGTTTTAGTTACTCACAGCTAAACAGTCTGAAAATATTAAATAGAAAATTCCAGAAGCAATCAATTCATAAATTTTAAATTGTATGATATTCTGAGTAGCTTGATGAATTGTCACCTCATTCCACTTTGCCCCACTTGGGATGTGAATCATCTCTTGTCTAGTGTATCCACAATGTATTCGCTACCTGCCTATTTGTAACTATTTTGGTGATCTGATCAACTGTCTCACTATGTCAGTGCTTGTGTTTAGGTAATCCTTATTTTACTTAATAATAGCTTGAAAGTGCCAAAGTAGTGATGTTGGCAATTTGGATATGACAAAGTGAAGTCTTAATGTGCTTCCTTTAAGTGAAAAGATAAAAGTGACCAATGTCATCGTTGTTATGTATATACAGATGCTCCTAAACCTATGAGGGGGTTAATCCGAATAAACTCATCATTAGTTGAAAATGCATTTAATGCTCCTAACCTACTAAATATCATAGCTTACTTATCTCAAAATACTTATATCTGCTGGGGTTGGTGGCACACACTTGTAATCCCAGTGACTCTGGAGGCTGAGGCAGGAGGATCCCAAATTTGAGGCCAGCTTCAGCAATTTAGCAGGGCCCAAAGCAACTGAGTGAGTCACTGTCTCAAAAAAAGAAAGGGCTGGGGATGAGGCTCAGTAGTAAAGTGCCTCTTGGTTCAATCTCTAGTAACAAAACAAAACAACTTATATTTTCCTACAGTTGGACAAAGTCCTCTGATACAAAGCCTATAAAGTGTTGACTATCTTATGTAATTTATGAATGCCTATATTAAAAAATGCTAGCAGGGATTGGGTTGTGGTTCAGTGGTAGAGAGCTTGCCTAGCATGTGTGAGGCACTGAGTTTGATTCTCAGCACCACATATAAATAAAAAAAAAGTCTGCTGACAACTAAAATATATTTAAAAATGCTAGCAACACTGTACACTGTATGCATCCTTGTGATTGTGTAGCCCACTGGGAGTTATGTTTCACTGCTGCTGTCCAGAATCTCAAGAGTGTATCTTATGGAATATTGCCAATTTGGGGGAAAAAAATCAAAATTCAGAAATCAGTTTAGTGTCTACTGAATGTTTATCATTTTCATGCTCTCCTAACCTAATATTGACAACTTGTAAGTGGATCCATCATTAATTCAGGTACTATCTTTACAGGACAAACCATAGCATCTATAGGGTGTGCTAACATACCTGGTTTTAGGAATCCACTGGGCGTGGGGGCCTTGAAACATACCTCCAAGGAAAAAGGGGACTACAGTAGATACACCTTAACAGAGATAAAAAGAAATCAAAGTTGGCCTCTAATCCAGTCTGCATCTAGGCAGAAGGACTAGAGAATCAGAGTTGCCTGAGGAGTTCTGATTGAGTAAAAGCTTGGGTATGGCCCTATGTTTTAGGGGCTTACCAAAGAAAACACTGGAATCTTGGGGTTGAAGTGCTCAGGGCAGAGTCCAGAGTGAGGAAAGAAAGGTCCTGCTCTTCTGAGGCTCAGAAGACGAAGAACTCCTTATCCCTATTTTATTATTATTATTTTTGGTGAGTAGTGATTGAGCACCTTTCCTCTGCTAGACCCAGTGCCTGGAGCTTAGAATGGCTGGGCACTTTGCATTTCAAGAAAAGTTGCTGAAAGAACTCAGCTTGTGGGCTGACTATTCCTCCCTCCCTCCTTTCTTTCCTGCCCCCCCCACCCCACATTCTTCTCTGCCTCCCTTCCTTCTGCAACTGTCCATTGTAATCCTGATCTGGGTCGGGCCTTGAGGTTATATGATCCTCAAAACAGACAAGGGTACTGCCTGTATGGGACATATTCCAGTGGGAGACAGATCACCAACACGTAAACATGAAAACAAGAGAGATGACCAGATTCTCATCATTCCCAAGAGGATCAGATTGCTCAAAAAAACTAAAACAGAGCATCAAGATAAGGAGTGACCAGTGGGTGTGTGGGGACTTTGGAAGAGAAGGAATGCTTCTCTGGGAAAGTGACATGTGAGCTGAGTCCTGGAGGGCAGCCATATGGAGAAGGTGCTGGTGAGAAGTGCAGAATAGGGCTGGAGGAGCACAGGATGTGGGGTGGTATATTCTAGAGGCAGAAAGTCACTGTGGTCAGCATAAAGTCAGGTTATGACCAGCAGACTGAAGTAAGGAAGATTTCCCTTCAATCAAAGGAAGGGCTTTCCAATGTTTACAGCTGCATAAGGACCGTGTGCTGTCCCCTGAGGGAGTGAGGTGCTCAATCACTAGAGGTGTGCAAGTCATGGAGGATGCCCACCGCGGGGAGTTACTGTGGAAGAGACCTAAGCATCCCAAAGGTTGGCTAGAGGACCCTTCGTCTCTTCAACCCCTTCAAGTTCAGGAGTATCTTTGGTTTGGCAGAAGCTGGGCAGGTGTCTGTGGAGTGAGTGAATGAGAGCTTCAGGCTGCCAGGTCCACAGCAGGGGTAAACTTAAGGGGTTCTGGCAGTTCTTGAGCCCCCCTTCCCCACTTCCAAGTTCCTATAGCTCTGTATCCCCAGGAGGGGTTCCCAGGAGAGCCCCAGAGTGTCTTCCTCAATAGACCAGGAACTCCGCACCTCTGATTCCCACCGTCCAGCGTCCCATCCTCCAGCAACCTCTGTGGGCAGGTGGGCTTCTTTTTCCTTCTTTTCCCTAGGCCCCCTGGGCGCGCCTGCCCCGCCCCACGCCTTTGTTCCTGAGGAGCTGCCTCGGGTAATCCCCTGGTGGCGGAGACAGCAGCGTCCCCATGGCGCGCGCGGAGCTCAGGACCCACTGCACCCCGACCCTATGCCCTCGCCGCCTCCGGCGCCCGCCTCCCTGCCCCTCTCCGGTAGCAGCCCGGCAGCCACGCTGGGAAAGCCGGAGTGGGCACCACCCGGACCAGGGCGCGGATCCGGGCGGTGTTGCCTCGAGGACCTGGAGCGCGAAATAGGCACGGGCGCGAAATACGGGCGGTAGCGGGAGGACCCTGGGGTCCCACCAGAGCAGACAGTGGATGCGAGTGCGCGACTCCGGAAGCGGGGACGCGCCTGCCAGGTGTGCGAGCGGCTGCAGGCGGGAGGAGGGCGCAGCTTTGTGCGTTCCCAGCCGCCGGCCGGGTGTGCGCGTGTGCGCGCCGCGGTGACGGTGCACGCGACTGGGCGGGCTGCGAGGGAACCCCGGCGGCGAGAAGGAGGGGGCTTGGGTCCGGATGGAGAGGGCTAGACGCGCCGTTCTTTGCGCGTTGGCTGGGTGAGCAGCCGGGACTGACTGTTGACATTCCGTCCACGTCGGGGAGCGAGGTCAGTGGCTTCCGGGCTGGGTTGTAATTCCATAGTCAGCCTGGATCTGGACGAGAGTCCTGGGTGTGATCAAGCGTGGAATAGGAGTGTACGCTGTGAGTGTGGATGCGTGTATTGCAAAGCAATATCCAGCACGTATGGCCGGTGTGAGCTCTGTGTTGTGATCCCAAAGAGCAATTCAGTGTACGGGGTTATGTTTGGGAGGTGGGGTGACTGTCCTCAGAAATCCCTGCCGGGTGGGGCACCCCACATACATCAATGCAGAGGGGTGTGTGTGCGTGAGTGAGATGTTGGTTAGCCCGCGTCAGAGTCTGGCTAGAGAAGCTGACCGACATGGAGGTCAGACGTGGGTGTTTACAGGTGGCGGTAGAAGGAAAAAAGCCAGGAACCCCAGGAGGACTGGAAAGGGTGCCAGCCACAGCCCATCCTCACTCCAACCTGTGCCTGTTGCAGGGAAGGGAACCAGGGTGGGGGTTGCTGGCTGAGAGGCCTTCATGGACCTTTGGGGCAAGGCCAGTCTCCAGCCTGATTCTCATATTCAGAGGCCTTGAATAGGTGGGTGTGGTGGGTGCCATCCTGGGTGGGGGTCCAGGGCAGGTGTTTAGGGGACTTTGGGAGTCTGTGTAGACTCCACTTTGGCTTTACCACCACTAGATGCTGTGTGTCTGGATCTGGGAGCTGATTGAGGGGTACCCTTCTTTCCTCTATAACTCCCCCTTCACCCTTCTTAACAAACCTGAAGGGCATTTACATGCAAGTGAGATTTGGGCTCTGAATTCGGGGATCTGCTTTTGATATGAGCGCCACTGGAGCAGCCTCCATGGGGATTAAGAGGGTTGTCCTGGGTCAAGCATCAGAGCTCTTGGTTCCTTTTCATGCCTTGTAACCCTGAGGCTGTTCCTTGAACCCCAAAGGCCTCAGTTTCCCATGGAGAGACAGGAGGCTCTGTCCTCTCGCCCTCCTGTTCTTTCTGCTGTGCATGAGGGGGGAGCGCGGGGGGGTGGTGGTGGTGGCTCCCGCAGGAGAGGAGTAAACAGAAAGCTCACACAGCTGTCTGGGGCTGGGAGACAGGGAGTGACTCAGGGCCTGTGAGGTCCTGGGTTGTGATTTTCCTCAGGAAAGTCCTAGCACATCTTTGTGACTTGGACAGGAGTTGAGAAAGGCTCTGCCCTCGCCTCCTAGCAAGGGTGCTGGGTTTCCTCAGTCCATGGGTGGCAAAGGGTATCTGCTAAATCTGGCTTCATGGGCTTTGGGAAACTGCCGGAGGTCCCTTCTTTGCCAGATGTTGAGAACTGGGGGACGGATGGGCCTTGAAGGGCCTGATTGGGGGGGGGGATGGGGGACTGGAGCTGAAGACCTTCTGTGGTTGTTGCTTCTGGGTGGAGGCAGATGCTAAGATTGGGTAGGGCCAGGGCATGTCCAATGGGACTCCTGCTCAGCCCAGGATATTGAGATAATTTGGCAGGACTGGGCTTCAATTTCAGAGAAGAGGATCCTCTTGAGGGAGGCACACTCACAGTCTTTTTTCCCTTTTTTCCCCGTGACCCACTCTGATCAGTGTGGCAAAGCCACAGTGACCCAGAATGATTTAAACCTTGAGGGAAAGGAGCCCTGACATGGATGGTGATGGTGGCAGCATGGCATGATGGTAAGCATGAAGGCTTAACCGCTCTCCTGGTGACAGTGTATTGTCACTGAGAACTGGGTTTGAATCCCAGCTGCACTACTTCCTCACTGTGTCCACTTGCATTCTCTTGGAGAAAGGCTTGTGTGTGTTTATTTGAGAAGTCATCTCAGGAAGCAAGGGGCAGGGGCAAGGAGAGAAAGAAGAGTAAAACAAGGAGATGCAATTTTAATTATCACCACACTTGATCCTGGTGGGCTTCTGAGGAGCTCTGTCAGGGAGAGAAGCAGGGAGGCATTTATCTGTTAATAGTGTTCCCTGCTGGACAGAAGTGCTTCCAAGGATGTGAACTCTCATGTGCTTCCAGATTGCACAGGTGGGTGACTGAAGTGGCTTTCTGTGCAATCTGCAAACTTCAAAGAAGGCCTGGTTCAGGATACATGAAGCTATGTTGTATTTTACTTGTAAGATGCCATTCAGAGCCTGTGGGGGACTGGTCATTGCAGAAGTAGCTGGAAGGACTGAGAAGGTTGGAAGTGGCACACTGAAGTGTCCAAAACACTTCGTAACCTTGGGCAAGTTACCTAACTTCTCCTGATCCTTATGTGGGTGTTGTGAGTGTGAACTAAGACTTTTTGAACATGGTGGTAATGGGTGGGTGTTTAGTGAAGGGCTCCCTAATGAAGCATTTCTGTGTAGCTGGGAAGATGACAGGTTCTAGTGGAGCGGATATTCATTCACTCAAGTGGAGGACCCCTCCTGTTTGTAGAATCGGGAGCTCAAGGACTAATAACCTGGTCAGTTCCTGGAGGACACAGGAGCCCAGCAATTGGCAGAGGAGCATGAAGGGAGAAGGCAGCTCAGAAGCAGGTGCTTGAAGGAGGAGCAGAGGGAGGGTGGATGCTGGCGTTTGGAGCTGGCAGATGGTCGTGGGCACTGGTCTGGGCTACAGTCAGTGGGAAGGACAGGGCAGGGAGGTGGGGGAGGGATGGAGAAAATACCAAGCAGGAAGGGAGAGGAGAGCCGGTCGGCAGAAGATGCTCAAGAATGATGAAGGAAGTGGGGCTCAGGGGTGAGGTGGCCTCCTTGATGCCTTGGATTAGAGGTGTCTGGGTCTGAGGAAGAGTGACAGGGTGCAGGAGGGAAGGGAAGGGAAGCAGTGGTTGAGGGTTAGTTGAGGGGTCCTGGGATATAAGCCAGAGCAGACTTCATATTCAAGGTCCAGATCCCACAAGCTTCCTCATTTGTTTTTCCAGTGTGTTCACCTGCTCCTCCTGGGCTACCACCTTCTTTGACAGGGGAGATGCAATCTGTATGCAAACACTTAGGTCCTGTTATGAGCAGCGACAGGAAAAGTCGCCTCAGCCAAGGCCTGTTGCCATGGTACCAGGTGGCCCTTGTCTCTCTACCCTCTCCTATCTCTGAGCAACATGCCACCCCCTCAGGAGAGATCACACAGTAGGGAAGGTATCCAGCTTCTTTTTGCTCACGCACAGGTGGTTCAAGCTGGCAATACAAAGGTCACTGTATCCATCCCTCTGCCTGTAGACAGGGTCATATCTCACTGAGGCTGGGGAGGTGTGGTCTTCATTTATTGCTATTTAAAGAGTATTCTGGCCTCTGCAACTTGGGGTGCTTTTTGTTCTTAGTAAGTTTAGTGCCGGGCATGGTGGCTCATGCCTGCAATCCCAGTGGCAGGTTACTTTCACAAGGCCACAAAGCTAATAAGTGATAGAGCCAGAAAATTAACTCAGATCTGTTTCTGATACTTGCTGTTATTCCCTTCCTCCTTCCCAGAGGCTGAGGCAGGAGGATTGTGAGTTCAGAGTCAGCCTCAGCAACTTAGTGAGGCTCTAAGCAACTTAGTGAGATCTTGTTTCTAAATAAAATATAAAAAGGGCTGGGGATGTGGCTCCGTGGTTGAGTGCCCCTAGGTTCAATCTCCAGTTCCAAATAATAACAACAACAACAACAAGTTTAGTTAAAAAAGTAATAATACCACCCTTTCAGTCCATTCCCGTTTTAAAGTAGCATCTAGTAGATGACATGCTCTTTTGCCCACACCTCTTTCAGAGCTTTGGTGTGTCTCCGGTGGGAAATCCTACCTCATACCTGATCTCATCCTGCCATCTGCACTTTGTGTGCATGTGTGTGTGTATATGTGTATGTGTTTTGAGTTTTTGTCTTTCTCTGTTTGCTACCACTCTTCAGGGCTTCCAGATGGGGATAAAAAGATTTTTGCCCATCTGCTCACCATGCAAAGCAGCCATAGCATCCTCCCAAGACAGGTGGGATGCCAAGGCAAGGATTGTGCTATGAGAGACCCGGCCTGAAATGGAGGCTGTGAAGAGCCCCCCAGTCCTGCCTAGGCTTGGATTCTGCCTTGGATGTTGCTCTTCAGGCCAGATTGCATCTCATCTCCTTCCTTAATTCAGATCCAGGATTGCCAGTCTCCTTCCTGGATCATGCTAGCTGGCTGGCTGGGCCTGGCTTGGTCTGGGTCAGCAGATGACAGCAGGTGTCAGCACCTGGAGGACCTTGGTACAGCCAGGGCCCTGATGGTCAGGTGACCCGGAGTAAGAGCAGGAGGGGAGTGGCAGCAAGTCAGGCCGACCAAGATGTGCCTGTGGGTGTGAGTACATCTGTGCTTGACACACATGTGTGTTCCTGGAGGTCATGCTGCTCGATTGCTCTCTGTACATCTCTGAGTGGTCCCACAGAACACGTTTCTGTTTGTGCACTGTTGTGCTCTCTGGCATGTTCGTAGGTACCTTTTTTTCTGGATGCAAGTGTTTACCACCAGCTTGGTGCTCTCCAGGGTCCTGGAGAGTATGCCTGTGTGCATGGCAGGTGCTACTTTATCCTAGCAGGGTTCCTGGCTCCCTGAGGCTCTCTGAGTCTTTTGCCCTGCCCAGTTCTGCTCTCTCTCCAGGCTTTTTAACCCTGTCCCTTCCTCCACCTTGAGGAAGCCACTTCTCTCCCTTGAATGTGTGGGTGTCCATTGCTTTTGGGGTGGGGACTGAGGAGGGACTACCCATCCAACCTTCAGCCCCATGCTCCTGAGCTTTGAGGGGGATGGATGTGAGCCCCGTGTTAAGGGGATAAGTCAGGGATGGCTACAGGGGCTGGGCAGAAACATGCTTCAGAGAACTGTTGCTCCTGCCACCCACCCATCCACTTGACCTACCCTTAGTGGCCTGGGCACCAATGCTGCTGGAGGAAGACTCCCTGAACTCGGCTATGCATATCATTGATATTTATGCAGCAATCCCCATGCCAGGCTCTGGACCACATACTATACATGTATTAGCTCACTTACTCTGCAGAACACCCCTCGCTTATGAGAATAACAATGCTATGAGGTGGGTTCTAAAACCATCCCTATTTTTGCCAGGTGTGGTGATGCATGTGTGGAATTCCAATGATTCAGGGGTGCTGGGGCAGGATGATTGCAGGTTCGAGGCCAGCTTCAGCAACTTAGCTAGACCTTGTCACAAAGAATGAAAATGGCTGGGATGGTAGAGTGCCCCTGGGTTTAATCCCCACTAAATATATATATATAGTCCACAGCGGGGTGTAGTGGTGCATGCCTGTAATCCCAGAAGCTTTGGAGGCTGAGGCAGGAGGATTTCAAGTTCAAGGCCAGCCTCAGCAATCAGGGAGGTCCTAAGCAACTTAGAGAGATCCTGTCTCAAAATAAAAAAGGGGTGGGATGTGGCTGAGTAGTTGAGCATCCCTGGATTAAATCCCCAGTTAAAAAAAAAAAAGGGAAAAATCTCTATATTACTAGTGAGTGGAGGTTACTTCCACAAGGCCACAAAGCTAATAAGTGATAGAGCCAGAAAATTAACCCAGATCTGTTTCTTATACTTGCTGTTATTCCCTCCCCTCTTCCCTATTTGCATCCATCTTGTCCTTGCCATTTCTTCCTCAGAAAGACTGTCCCCTCTAAACAGGGCTTCTCAATCTGATCCCCTTTGGGTCATATCTCCTTATTGTGAATATATGCCTAATATTATCCCTCTTTTATCTCTTGCTTCCTCATCCCTCAGCCAGAGTCTGTCTGTCTGTTCATTTAAATATCCTCAGAATGAACAGGGAGCCTAGAACATAGTAGAGATGTAATAAAGATTTGATGAATTAATAGATGAAGATAGATTGGACTCCAGACCCTTCTTCTGTACTGTCTCTTATAGCAGGAATCACTGCAGAAGGGCCAGAGGCACAGGTTCTTGCTTGGTTTAAGTCCTGGCTCTGTCACTGTTCCAGGTAGCTAATGCTGCATAATAAACCATCCAGAAACTTATGGCTTATAACTATAGGAACATTTATTTTGCCCATGAATTTGCAGTCTGAACAGGGCTTGATGGGTATAACTAATATCTTCTCCATTCAGTGTAATCCTGGGTTGTTCAGGTAGAATCAGCCAAAGGCTGTTATTCAGGTCTGGCATTTGAAGCTGGCTCTTGGCTTAGGGTCTTGGTTCCTCTCCATGTGGGCCCCTTTATGTGTTCCACCTGTATGTTAGTGTGGGCTTCCTCTCATCATGATGACTGAGAAAAGGGATAAATATTCAGAGAGAGAGAGAGAGAGAGAGAGAGAGAGAGAGAGA